GTCAAATGCTTACCGATGTAAACATTTTTAACACAATCATTTAATGAGTTTCTGATTGTCGACGCATTTGCCAGGATCGACGACCGAACAGATAAATCGTTGAAAGAGACACCAAGAAGTGGTGGCCAAGCCCACCTTCTGTTGTTTATCGCTATAGCTCCCTTGACTACAGTAATCGATCCAGGACGTTAGTTCCCTTTAGGTACAAATAGTAGCTCCAAGGAGCCAGGATCAATGCGAATTTATGTGGATAGCCTCTCCTTGGAGCTAAAAGGAAACAACGGATCTCCAGGGTCATACAAAACAATTGTCTGTACGCAAAATATGCGATAGTCAAGGGGTACTGCATGGACAAGCCACCCATAAGCGAGAGAAACATAAAAGAAGCATTAATGCATTTCTACCGACCATACGTAAAAGACAACTAAGACAAAGTCAGAAACATCATTCTTAAATATGAAGAATTTATGACAACTATAAAACAGGATAATAATAACAGTTAAATTTATTAGAGGGCACCACTTTACAGTGTTATGTAAACTTGAATAAAAAATTTCTCATAAACAGGATTTTTGCCGTTAAAAATTGTTAGAGTCATGAAGAAACAAACCGTACCAAAATAGGTAATCAACCATCAATCATGTACAGGGGCCTGCCCCAAGAATCTGGAGGATTTCCAGAAAACTCTGGATTCTACCGATTTCTGAGTTGTTCCCTATGTGAACCGAAGAATAAGCTTTGTATGCAGCGGCTGGGGATCTGCGGACAATCCTTCAGCATAGACGTAATGATTCCTAGCGAATATGAATTCGAGCAATGTTTTGTCGGCTTTAATGGTGAGTGATGATAAAAGATTGAACGCAAACTATTAGAGTAGTTTTCTATACAAGAGACAAATGTAGAAATCAGCAAATTCTGATAAGATGAAAAAGAGAAGTGCAGGTGATGAACATATAGAATATAGGTGATCTATAATGCAGAATCTGTCTCATCGCTTTCCAAGTCGTGAGGACTCTTTAGAACGCCTCCCGTTGTACGCGGATTGTATCCAGACGCGAAGGACGTTTAGAAATCATTGAAGGGCATAGACTTTTCCAAATGTAAGACTGGTTAAAGCAGGACTCAAGCGAATCGTAGATGAGTGTCACCTGGTTTACTAAGTGCATACCAAAGAGAGACGCGAGCAATGCCTTTGATGTATTAATCAGAGAAACATGATGACTGCATGTAGAGACTAAAGTCAAGGGACCGAGCGAATCGTTGATGAGCGTTATCTTGTTTCTCTAGTTTCTACTGTTTATCGCTATAGTATCCCTGACTTTAGTTCAGCGGTGAATTTAGGGGAGATGCGCTTGGCACGCTCGCACCTCCTTTCCAAAATATTTTCAGAAGAAAAAAAGCCACTGTTAGTACTTTCAGCCGCAAAATCTCAAGCAGTCGCACTCTTCCTTAAAAGTTCTGGATCCGCCACTGCTTTAGCCAAGAGTCTGAATAAAGAGTTATGTTCGTGTGTTCGCAAAACATGAAAAAATGGCCGTCAGATACTAAAATGTTTTAGTATGTGTTTCTTAACTATCAGTTCAATTTTATAGCTCTGGTTTTGGGTTTAATTTGACTTCAAGAGATGAAGGCGGCATGTTTAATGATTTACTACACGAACAAGCTACGACAAAATGTTAAGCTACAGGGTTATTTTCAAGATCACTTTATAGGTTAAAATAGAAAGATGTTTCAGAAGAAAATAAAGTATTACTTTTGTTCTCCATTAGGGTTATTGTACTGAACAAAAAATTCATGCTGAGTAAACTATATCATATGCTGGTATACGAATAACAACAATTGTATAATAATAAAGGAGATAATTGCAAAAGCAGGTAATTCTTTTTACGGTGAAAAAGCTTCTCGTTTTTGCTTTTTTCATTCTTATCGTTATGTATGTATATGCTCCATAATTCAAAACTCACCTATTTCACTAATTTCGCTAACGTTTTTAACAAGATATCCCAATTATATATAATTAGCGTAACTGATTTACCTTCTCAGTCAGCATTCAGATCCTTTTCCTCTCTGAGTAACATACAAGGCAACTGAGTATGGGCTAACTGTTTTTTCAAAATACATGTGTAAAAACAGTAGCAAAACAGCTTATTAATTTCAATTTTTGTGATATTTTTGAATATTAATTAATCCACTTTGCATAATTAAGTAGTTCGAACTACAAAGATTGACACTTTTCGACCTTCCTTACGACTGAATAGGAAATATTTCTCGAATTATTCCTCAGCTTTCACTACGTGTAACCACTCTCTAAGAATCTTTAACTCATCAACTATGTTTTCAATACTTTGTTTTTGTTTATTTTTGAAGAAAAAGAGAGAAAAGTGAAAAGTAAACAACGGTATTCGCACACACCCACATTTAGTTTTAACTGTACATTAACAGAAGAAAATCACTCGTGTACTCCCATAAAGGTAGTTCCGTAGAATAATAAAACAATAGGATCCAAAATAACACTGCACCGGCTACTCAATAAGAAAAAAACGAAACGAAACAAAAAAAAAAAGATAAGAACAACAGAACAGTATAGATGTGTGCGTGTGTATATAAAAAAAGAAAAGAAAGTTTATTCTCATATAATTTTCACATTATACCTTTTCCCTAAAAGTGAAACAACAAAGAGAAAAACAAAAAAACAGAAAACAAGCTAAAACGTGAAAGACTTTTTTTGCTCGTTTCTTTAGCAATCCATAGGTATAATAGCAAGGGGAAAACAAAAACAAGTTTTGAGTGTGTAGAACTGTGTAGATCGAAAGACAAAAAAGAGAAAAACAAACGTGAGTCTAATCACTTTCATTTGAGGTAGAACTAGCGTGCTAATAATTAAGGTATAAAATACACCAGAATGAACCGAACCATAGAAGAAAATTCTAAAAGAGCAATATTCATATTTCAGAACAAGTGTTTGCGCAAGTGTTATTTTATGATGTGCTGCGCGTGTGTATATGCGATCTTGATAATCAGAAGGAAAACTACTTAGGGCTATCCAAAAGTAGTGAGGGAGGTACTATTTTTTCTTATAGAAAGCTTGAAAACTTTTTCTTTTTTAATGAACAGGTAGAGCGTCTTTCGCTCTATTTTTCTATGCTATTTGATCCCTATTCAACTAATATCATAGCAATAAAATTTCGATAAGATCTATTTCTTTCACATATGTGCTGGTAGCATGAACATGAATCCTCGTGAGTATTTTTTGAATAATGTTTAATAGTAACAAGATAGAGAACTGCGATTTTCACCATTGGAAAGAGGAGATGAAGACGCATCGAATCATATATTACTGATTTTTCTAACCTGTTTTTTGTAAGGTTTTTAGTTGACCTTTTAAAGAACAAACCTATCCCGTGAGTTGTTTACAGTGAATTTCCAATAATCAGGTTCACATTCAAACCACTAATCGAAGATCTACAAACTGCGAAAGACTCAGGTGTAAATTTAATTATTTGGGGATAATACGTATTCTAGACGAACCTATACTACGATTTTCGATCAACTTTTCTGTTTTTTCTTTTTTTCATAAAAAAACATTTTTCCGACGGTTAGAAAATTGAATAAAAACACTTCAGAAATCATATTAGAAAAATCAGTAATCTACAGTTCGATCCGTCTTCATCTCCTCTTTCCAATGGTGAAAATCGCAGTTCTCTATCTTGTTGCTATCAAACGTTATTCAAAAAGTACTTACGAGGATTCATGCTATCAGCACATATGCGAAAGAAATAGACCTTATCGAAATTTTATTGCTATGATATTAGTTGAATAGGGATCAAATAGCATAGAAAAATAGAGCGAAAGACGCTCTATCTGTTTATTAAAAAAGAAAAAGTTTTCAAGCTTTCTATAAGAAAAAATAGTACCTCCCTCACTACATTTGGATAGCCCTAAGTAACAGCAACTATCTGAACTTACAGGAGAGTTTTTTTTCTTTTTCCCGTTGTATGGATACGTTTGTCGAACTATTCATCTTTATTCAGATTTCACTTGCTCTTGTCCACTGGAATCACCAGCACCATTCTGTAGCTGATTACTGTTGTTATTATCTGACCCTTTTGTATTCTGGCTGGAATTGTTGTTATTTCCATTGCTGCTGTTATCACCCGCGCTTTGCTGTTGTGTATTTTCATTTGTTTGCTGTTTATTTTTATCAATATTTTCGCTGTCGTTGTTATTGCTCGTCGACTGTTGCTGTTGTTGATTTTCTAAAATGTTCGAAAAATAGTGTTAGTTATTAATGAGTCTCCTTTATACGAAAATTGGATAAAACACATTAAGGAAAGAAATTAGATCTGGAATAGTGCGCGAATTTTTAACATAGAATGGTTAATCTATTGACTTTGAAAAAGCATTCTATATTACATAAGAGCGGCGTGCAAATCGTGGCGTCCTATCAATTATGATAAGTTAATCGATGATTTACTAATAACCCACCATCATTATTGTCATCTTGTTGATTTATGCCGCCGCGTCCACGACCTCTACCTCTACCTTTAAACAAAACAAAGTCGAATGAAGTATATTAAACAAAAAAGATTTTTTCATTGTTCACCTCTTCCGCCTCGTCTTCCAGAACGTCCAAAACCACGATATCCACTAAAATATGGACCATAATAACCTAAAGAAAACAATCGTTTTATTTTATTTCTAAAGTATGTATCATATCCAAAATAAAGAAACGTATCTTTTTACCTCCTCTACCACGGAAGCCGCCTCGAAATCCACCTCTAAAATAACGAATAACAAAAGATTAGTCCTATAAAAAATCGGCAGTTTGAAAAAATCTATTACCGGAATCCGCCACGCCCTCTTCCTCCACGACCACCACGTTCATTAATTGTATCAGTGGCATTTTCGTTAGTCTGTTCACCGTCTGTTGCATTCTGATCTTTATCATTTTGTGCACTACTCTGACGTCGACTTCGTCGACGAACTCTTCTTGATACTTTATTAACCATACCACGAACAACTGATTTGATAATTTGAGCATCAGTTAAATTTTTAGGGGGTGCTAAAAAAGATGACAAGATAAATTCCGTTTTTTCTCTCCTTTCTGTCTATAAGCGCAATATCATGCAAGGAAACAGTCTCTAACCCTAGTATAAAACTCCTGCAAAAGCAAAAGACTTTCGTCTACTGTTGTAAAAGACAAGGAGGCGAAGGTGATATAACACGAAGTGAATATGTAATATGGATAGACTTTAGGCGAAGTAGCATGGCCAATTCGGTGTCATTGCGCATAAAAGTAGAGCAAGAAAAACACTAGAATGGAATGATAAATTTAAAGTACAGGAAAACTTTTTACCCCGCTCAATAAAGTTTGATTTGTTGTTAAGACTACTAGTTGAAAATTTACGATTTGTTTTTACGCGCAGAGATTCTACGATAACAGAAGTGTCAGTCCTGCATGCTAGTGGTTTGGTCGGATTGTTCATGTTCTTTTGTCTTACTGTCATCATTTTCTTTGCCGCTAGTTGCATCTCCACCTTGTGACGCATTTGTATTACGCCGTGAACTATTTCTTTTTCTTCTTGAATTTCGACGTTTCCGCTTAACATTTGCACTGTTGTTTGCATCATTTCCATCTTGTTGTTCAGCATTCTCTACGTGCTCTTCACCATCATCACCTTGTTGACGTCTTCGCCGATCATTATCGGCACGTTCATTTCCATTTTCATTATCGGTATCACGACTAAAAAAAGTAGAATAAAATGAAACAATGTAGAGTATACAAGTGCTCACATTGGTCAGCTCAACAATATATGGTTTCAAGAAATGAATCCGCTAGGCTAAGTTCTTACTTGTTATTATTTCCGCGACCACGTGAACGTCCTCGAAATCCACCGCGACGTCCCCGACCTGCAATTGAATTGAAAGTGATTTATTAAAATAAAATTAATTATTTTATTTGAACGTTACCTCGAAAAAATGGAGGAGCATAACCATATTGATTCATATTATAGTCGTACCCAGATTGAAAATCAGAGCCATAATAAGATGGAGGGTACGATGAATATGAATTATAATATGAATTATAACGATATGTTGGAGGATAACCACCCTGAGCATTCATATAATAATTATAGGGTTGAAATGAACGGTAAAAGCCATAAATTGGCATACCACGAAATCGGCCTCGCCCTATAAATAGAAATGAGCATAAATCTTCACACATACTTACATACTTTTCACTTTACCTCTTCCTCGTCCCCGAAAACGTCCTCGACCTGAAAAGAAAAATTTTCTGAAGTGAACTGTGTGAATATTCTGTGCAAAAACGTGCCTCGTCCACGATTTTGTGTATCTTCATTGTCGTCATTTTGTTCATTCTCATTATGATTATTGTTGTACTCATGATCATTATCTAAATTAAATACACATATCCTTAATTTAAAAATTCGAAAATCGGCCTAGTTTTACCTGAATTATCACCGTCTGAATGTTTTTCTTCATCGTTATTACGATGATCGTCTCGATATACATTTTGTTTTCGATTTGTACTAAAACAGACAACCGTTGAATAAACTGTTTTTGCTACAAAGATAAAAACTTTACACACACCTGTAAACAAAACGTGAGGAGTATTGTTGCCGATGACGATTCTCGTCTAGGTTTTCGTTGGTATTGTTATTTCGATAAGACATTTTATTACCTAAAATTCAAAATAACACATGGAAATCGTACAAAAAAGCACAATACTAACTACTCTGAAATAAAAAATTATTATGTAAAAATCACAAAAAAACGCAACTCTTAAAGCAACACATGATTGAGGAAAAGCGAAGATATGCTGATATGCAAGAGATTATTACAATTAAATAAAACTGTAAGAAAACAGAAACATCTTTGTTCCAACGCAACGAATGACATATCAGGTACGTATTCGATCTATCAACTCAAAGCTTTACGTATACCATACAAAAGTATGAATGTTTTTTTTTAATTTAAGACTGAAAAGAAAAACAAAACTCTCGATGAGTAATCAGATGATAGCTAACTTGTTGTTCATAGAAAATGTCTTAAAAATACAAAGTATAACTGAAACAAAAATTAAAACTGGTAAAAGTCAATAACAACCTTTATAATTGAAAATCCTGTGAGAATATTGTTAATACAACAAGAAAAGACAAGACACGATAACGTTTTCTTCATATCTTCTACATAAATTTTGTCGTGTTCTGTGAATGGGGTGCTGCTCACGTTCTGTGTTGTCTCATTACTATCTCTCGTTCTTTTAAAAATGAACGCAGAACATTCTTCTACAGCCTTTGTTTTTGAATTAACTCTCTCTGCCTATTAACGCAGCTGAAGATTTCGACCTTAGATGGCTTAATGTCAGATTTTAGTGAGGAAGTGAAGTTATTATTCCTAGAGCATCCTCACTATTTCGTATGCCAACAAAAACGTAGTAAGAATACTGACGAATGACTCCGATATTGGGACAGCTTGCTTGGTTTTTATTGTTCATTATTTCCAGAGTACGGATGGAAAAGAAGCTGCAGCAGAAAGAACAGGTTGTATTGTTGGACTCTACCTATAATTGATTATCTATCATGGTTTCTATTAATTAGTAAAAACTTCTGCTGCGATTAATTAATCCTTATTTCCAAATAAAAAAATTTCTAACATTATATCACAAATCATGGATAATTCCAAAATAAGAATTCATTTCTCCACTTAGTTCTATTGAGGTACCGTATTTTGCTCAACATTAGAGATGGTACGTTCCCGTTACTTTACTCTGAAAAGTAACGATTTTTCGTTACTACTTACTAATAACGTGCAATGGAAATTTGTTACTTGTTACCAGTAACGATAATGTATAATGGAAACTTTAAAAAGTAAAGTAACAATAAAACATTCTTTTTGTTGTTTCGACAACTCCTTATTTATTTTGTTAAACATCTCTAACTGATGAAAGATATCTTTTTTTGAAACGGTTCATGTTTCTACGGCAGCGTTTCCCAAATGGGGTTCCATGGAACCTTGGGGTTTCGTGAAGTGAAACCAAGGGTTCCGCCAGAAAAAAATAAGAAGATAAAAATTAATTTCAGGACATAAAAAAAATTACGTAGTCTTAAATAATTTTTGTCAAATATTATGTCAAAATACTACTGGGGTTCCGCAAAGTTTTAAATTTTATGAAAGGGTTCCATGGCTAAAATAAATTGGGAAACGCTGCTGTACGTATCACTCCTATTAAAAAACACATGCTTGGACTGAAATCCCACGCTGTGTGGTTAACACGAGTTCTGTATATTAGAATGTGCTTGTATCACCGAACTAACAAAAATCTATCCTTTAAATCAATGTTTCTATAAGCATCACAGAGCTAACAAATGAATTAACGCGTTATCTAAATCAAGAAAATAGTTTACTCGTTGCTTTTCCAGAAGTAACAAGAGCAATGGATTTTCACTGCGGTTACTGGTAACAGGTAATGGATTTACATTACCCGTTATAGTAACGATAAAGGGAGAGTGCAGCCCTTCTCAATATTCGAAAGATCTAAGATTTTCTTTCTTTCTTCTTACTCATTATCCATCGTTTTTGGAAAACTTCTGGAAAATCTAAATTGTGTGAATATTGGATATAGCAGATTATACAGGGCAAAATCTCTAACGTCTCTAAATGCAATACGTTCTCTCCAGATATGAGCATCTCGTGTTTTAAATGTAAGAGCTTACTAAACTATTAATCAATTATGCATACGAAATACATCGAGAGACCGCACAGTGTGACTGTCTTCTTCTTTATCACTTTTACACCTTCCTGTTGCACTGACATCAATAATAAAAAGGTTGATAGGAATTAGACAAAGAAGCCATTATAACTGTTTCCCACACTTTCACACATAAGTGCTACTTATTTGGGTTCAACTTCAATAGATCGCTCTTATACACACAGAGCAAGAAGTGTGCGGGCCCAAAAACTTTTTTTTGGTAGGTGCCCAAAAAACGCCAAAACAAATTCTAGTGTGTGTGTGAGAAAAAAGGTCCAAAAGTTAGTTTGCTAGCGAAAAATGAAAATTTTCTACTTCCGATAGATTCGTTTGTATGCACTACCATCGAAGTGCGTTCTACATTTAATCTTTGCATACTTATTCTTTTCTCTTCAGAAGACAATGGACACAAAGAAATATAATAACAAAATTTTGAAAAAAGAACAGAGTGGACGTTCTTTACCTCAAGAAAAGAAATAAGAGAACACAAAAAGTTTTGAGAGGCTCGCGTTTTTAGTTGGGAGCGACACACTGAATGGTAAAAATATAATCTATTTAGACGGACAAATATACGTTGACGTACTTAATTTGTTAAAGAGAAAGAGAAAAAGAATGTTCTACTTATTTCACAACAAACGTTTTTTTCCTCAATCTATTATTTGCATTTACTATGACACAAAAAAAGTAATAAATGCATAAGTTTTCCTCAATGTGTCCTTGCATTACTCAAGAAAGTACTCCGGTTGATTTTTTCACCTTACTAACACGACAAATGCTGGAGAAAAAAAACTTTTAAGCAAATTCAAGGGAAGCAAACGTCAAAAAGCAATGTCCGATCGACTCTTTTCTCCTCTACTTCCTTCTTGTCAAAAATACAGTGCTGGGTGAAAGAGAAAACTGACTGTAGCAAACAAATGGTACGATCATTTTCTCTCTGGATTTTCTAATTAATGGATCCGAAGATTTTGACAGTACCTGTGTAATGTTAGTAAATAAAATAAGGCTCGGCAGAATTTTTCTGTAAAAGACGTAATATAAACGTAAGAGTTACAGTAGTAAAATTTTGAAACGCATGGTATATGGTATAGTCTGACTGACTGTTGTTTTTTTTCTCTGAAAACGTGCAGTAACTACCGTAATTTACCGCGTAATATGATTTGTTACTTGTTCCATTGTCTTTTAACGTGTCGGTATCGTCGACTACGTAATATACTCCCGACAGAATTTCAGCTAAAATCCAAGTCAGTGGCTGAAAGAAAAGTTTAACTACGACGTGAGAGACCAAAAACTTCAATCAACCACCTTCCGTCGTAAACGAAGTTGCATTTGTGATTCGAGTTCAAATATTGTAGAGGGCGCAGTCACGAGATGTGTATATTCATTCACTTCTTGTGTGATCATTATAACGAGATGATCATTGAACCGAATGATATCGAACTTCATCAAATATAAGCCGAGAATGTTTAAGCCTTAATCTAGTAAAAGAGAAAGATTTTGTATGCTCATTCTGCTCACTTATACCCAGACATGTGCGCCGCCACACCGATTCGCTTCCGCCGAAGGCAGAAAAAACTTTTGAGGTTAAGCGCCATCGGTGACAACTGTGGTAACCGACGTTTGATAGGAACGAGAAAACGCCTCAAGTTGTTCAGCATAATGAGACTGATATTCAACGTAAGGTGTGTAGGATTTGGATACGATGAAGGAGACAAAATTCAATTCATAACAATTATTTGATACTTATAAAAGATTAAGAAAGATTTTTTAACTTTCTCTTCCATTGACAGAATGTCTATTTTCTTTTCTCATATGGTGAAACTGTTGCATTCAGCGCTTGAAAAAAAACAGCGGCAAGTAGCGTTTTTTCGAAAACATAGTAGCTCTGTGAAGAAAACAAATTTAGCCCTTCATTTCGAGATTTTTCACTCACCGGCGTGAGTGAAAAGTTTGTATCGCCGCCGAAGGCGAAAAAAAGTTATGGAATTAGGCGCCATCGCCGGCGAACATTTGTTATCAGTGCACATGTCTGCTGATGCCTCGCATGTATTTTAAAACTGGTGTGTGGAATGTTCCAGTATATCTACTGACAACAATACATCTCAAACTTCACCGTGCTTAAGAGTACTCCCCGCCCTCTTTTTTCACCTTGTTGCCAAGTGCGGAACACATCCGATTGAGCTCAAATTTATACCAGAGATAGAACATCGAAAAAGAAAATGGATGTATTTTTACCCAGAATTTTCTGAGATGTTCTTATATGAGTTTCCTGGAAAACTCCAGTTTTCATCCAGTCACATGACGACTCCTCGAAAAAATGCTGAAAATCACGCAAAAAAAGTCAGCTTTTTTTACTGCCTTTCAGCATTTTTCGTATATCTTGAGAAGGAAAGCATATTTTTCGGGAAAAAAAATTTAGAACCTGAGATAGGGTCTGAAATATCTGTGGTAAAAGTTTGAGCTCGATCGG